AAGCTTATGGTTTGAGTCTTTCTCCATCGCTTCTAAAATCGCGCGAGTCTGAAAGCAAGTAGCTTCCAGTGTCGCACGTGCGATGTGACCTCTTTGCGTGTGTTGCGTTATTCCGACTAGAAGATGATTAGCAAGATGCTTATCTAGATAGGTTAAGGCCCGTTGAGGCCATTGATGAGGACTTACAAAGGGTACCTTTCGCATCGTCAATCCAGTACGGTGCGAATAGACCGCTGAATGCGGTCACAAACACCACCCCGCCATTATCCTTAACGCTCTCAGCCAATTCGCCAACTCTATTCGAGTCTCTAATAAATCCTAAATTGTTCATTAAAAACTTTACACCAGAGCCACCCACTGCTATGCTTCCTTCCAGGGCGTAAACTGGTTCCCGGCCCTTTCCAAAGTCGAATGCGACCGTCGCCAACAAGCCATACTTGGAAAGTACCGGCCTGTGGCCTACGTTGTATAACAAGAAACATCCAGTACCATATGTGTTCTTGGCCTGGCCTGGCTTGAATCCGCATTGGCCGACGAGCGCGCTGGCCTGGTCACCTAAACAACCTGCAATTCTCACTCCGGCCAAGGCGCCGCGGCCAATGGTACCGAAGGCTTCGGGGTCCGACGATGGCACAATCTTGGGCAATGCAACCTTGTTCTTGTCAATTCCGAAGAAGTTGAGTAGTCTGTCATCATACTGCCGGGTGTGCAGGTTCATAAACATAGTTCTACTTGCGTTGGTGGTGTCCGTGACGTGGACATTCTTCTCCTTACCGTTGAGGCGGTAAATCAGCCAGCTATCTACGGTGCCAAATGCGAGACGGCCTTCCTCGTAGGCATTTCTCACGGTCAGGTTATTCTTCAACAGCCAAACCAGTTTTACGCTGGAAGGATACGTGCTCAGGGGAAGACCGCATAGTTCGGGGATGGCATGGGCGCCAGGGTAATTCTTCAAATCTCGGACGATATCCTTGGTTCGGGTGTCGGGCCATACGACAGCATTGCATAGGGGTTCGCCGGTGATCTTATCCCAGCATACCGTTGTTTCGCGCTGGTTTGTGATACCTACAGCTTTTATTTGGGACTTGGAATAACCTTTGAAAGTAAACTGTTCAATGGCCCTTTCGATACAAGACTCAACAGAGCTGAGCAATTCTAAGGCATCATGTTCGTGCCACCTGCGTTGCGAAAATGGGGCATTAGCTCATGGTTGATGTAATAAGGGGGTCAGGGTGACGTCAATACCCCGATTCAGGATAGAGATTTTCAAATTCGATTTGATGACTGGCGACTGGGTCCATGTGGCGATTAAAGATGAGAAAACGCGACGACGTGGTGCCCTGGTCTATACTACCGATAAACCATTCCGACGGTGCACGTTTGCTAGTCCATAGACCGCCGCCGTTGGAACTGCCATTGGTCTGTCCATTGGTGTTGCCGTTGGTATAACCGTTGGCACGCTGACCATCAGTATAGCCATTGGTGCGGCCATTGGCATAACCATTGACATGACCGTTGGTCAACCCGTTGGTCTCACGGTTGTCTCCCATTGCACTCTGGTTGTTGTTACGAATGACAACTGGTGAGATAGTTACCGGACGACTTGATGGTGTTGAAGTTCGTTCAAGGTGGGAGACGGCGCGAGGCAATTTAGCCTTATCCTAGCAACCTGGATCGAGATGACGTGCAGTCGGCTTAAAGGAGGCCGAGGTATATCCCGCGACGGAAATTCGTTTGATAAAGGGTATCTTTGGTATCTTTTGTTGCAACGGGGCAGTGGTTATGATAGGGATAGGTCGACAAGATAATATACGATGGTTACGATGGGTACGAGGGGAGAAAGAGTAAGAGTAAGAGGAATATGAGGAGAAGAGGAGAGATAAAGAAACGGAAAAGAAGTAATAATAAGAGGAGAAAGAGTAAAAGGATAAGGACGTGGATGTGGAAGTGGAAGTGGATGTGGCAGTGGCAGTGAATGGGACAATCATCTTGGTAAGTGCGAGTAGATCGCACAATGTCGCACTTACGGCACTTACGTAGGTATTGTACTTGAATTGTACCGATCTGAACCGGCTGAAGCTTTTTAGCATGCGAATTGAACAAAGTGCCTAATGCAAATTCGAGAATGCAGGAATGCAGGAAAGAGCAGGGATACGAGAGCTGCCTAGCCGTGTCTCTGGAGCAAATTTAGGAATATGAGCGTATGAGCTGGAGTAACTATGGTAGGCTGGCTCGTGGAGAGTGGAGAAAGCTTGGAGGATTGCGGGGAACATTATTGGATGGTTTAAGTTGATTTTGTTGATTTTGTTTGGTTCGAATTTGCTGACAACCTTAGATACCGGCACGATACCGGCACGGTCGTAAGCAGGGCTTAATCTGGGCTATCTGGGCTATCTTAAGAAACCTACATAGCAGGAATCGCCTAGACCTTACAGAGCGCCCATCCTCAAGCGTACCTAACATATGAGCGCATGAGTGTATCGATGCGTCCCTTCTGAGTGTCTTGAAAAATAATATTCCCCACCTTCCCATCTTCCCAGCCAATCCTTCTACCAGGGATTGGTGGAACATTCACTTATGGAAGGATGGAAGGGGGGAGGCTCCCATTAGCTCATCGTTCTTGTACTAGAGGGGCGGGAGAAGTTACTACATAGGTCTAGCTTAGGGGCGCGGCGCTCGAAATTTGGCACAATCCATTTTCATCAAAGAACAAAAAAAAAAAAAAGGCTCGAGCCGAATTTTGCCCCTCATTTCTTTTTTTTTTTTTTCCTTCCTTTCCCATGTGAAGAATTCCTAATGTCCTAGTGTTCCATTACTCAACAGATTTTACTAGGTATTCTCGTCAACCTCCCTCTTCTATCTTACATAGCACGCAACACGCACAGCTTGGCCAGCGTGACCTTTTTTCCTGCATTCCCTGCCTAACCGCCTAAGATTGGAACATGGCAGCATCGCAGCATGGGGGTCCCTCTCGTCTGAGCCTCCGAGGCCGCCCCTGGGATGCGGTCAAGCACGGTTTGCCTGCTCTAGACCAACACTCGGTGATCTGTGCGAGGGGCCACTTCACGATAATCACATCCGCGTGATAAATTTGATTTTTTTTTGTTCGTGACCGGCCACCGGGCGCACGCATAATCACTCATTATCTATGTCTGGACGTGGGACCGGGGGTTGGCCACGTATTCCATTCCTCCCGTACATAGTATACGTCAACGATATTGACGATGCATTCATTCCCTTGTCTCCCACCCTTTCCGAACAAAGCCTCTCCCTCTCTCTCCCTTTCCCCTTCCCCTTCCCCTTCCCCGTTCCCCCCCATTCCCCATACCCCATTTCCCTTTCACCCTCTTTTTTCCTTCCCACCTCCTTTCCCCTTTTTCCCTTAGTCCACGTGCAACCAATCCTTCCACCGCTTAGAAATTATATCTCCATGAGCCATTTATCTGACGCTTGGCAACGTGCCAAAAATAACCCCGAAATTAATAATTCGATTTTTTATTTTCCTTTAAGACCCCGTACCCGTTCCTATTGCCGTCGGGCTCGCATCGACCAAGATTAATTCCATTGGTCTAAATGTTATGGGTTCTGCCGTTGCATCAAGCCTCAATGCCGGAAATTTGTGGGACTTGTTGCGGTCGGGAGATCGTCTGTCCAACTTCTTTTCCGGTCTTTGTTGTGGGGCCGAGCCCCGGGGGGGGTTATCTATAGCTGATTGTTTGCTCTGATAATTGACGGAGCAAACCTCGTATTATGCATCTTTCATCTCGTGCATATGACAGCCCTGGAGTTTCATGTCCGGGTGTACCCATAGGTTAGGTACATATTGTTTCACATGGGTGGATGTCTCGACCAATGTATATGTAGGAGGGATATGCAACAACCGAGCTCAGTTATCTTCCGTGTGTCCCCTTCTTTTTTTCCTCCTTCCCATCCATTTGCCTTTTTCTTTCGAGCTCATTCGTAGGTATTTAGTGTTCGGTGTTCAGTCGAAACTGCAGGATTCGGTGGTAGTTCCGAATAACATTATACGCTCTCCAAAAAGGCTTGCAGTTCCGAGCATTATTATCAATAGATTCCTTCCACAGGTCTAAGTCCTAAAGTCCGTCCACAAAGCGATTCACCAGGGCTTCCATTTTGACTTCTAGGGGCGACAGGACTACACTTCCTCGTCTCGGGCTAAAAATGATGTTCGTGATGCCATCTGCAAGAGTGAGCATCACTTTTCGGGCCGAAGTGATGCTTTTGATCGTGAACCATTTCGGAAATATGTTGTACGTAGTTGTTAGGGTTACACGATCGACGATGATATTGGCTAGTTTCGAGTGCACTCAAACCGATTAAGATGTCGGTCTCGAATGCATTTGTGAGAGTGAGGAATACCTCTGCAGTGTGCCCGAAGTCGATAGTCCGTCGCTCCAACAACACTATCGAATCTATGTTGATTCATATTTCATGATATAAAGCACGCCGATATGTCTAAGCGATAGGCGGCTGTTAAGTGTTGGTAGAGTATATATGGTTGCGAAATTCTTCTTCTACTTGTCGAATTTGCTTTCTAATTTCGTCATCGTGTCGGGTTTATCTTCTATTTGCTTGCTTGCTTCGATTAAGTTGTTGCTTTTGTTTATCAAGGGTATCTTAAGCAAGAAATTCGGAGCTTTGAAGCTTGTTTTTGATTAAGTTGTCGTGATGTAAAAAGCTTCTCGCGATGCTGGAGGCGTCTTCTTTGCCTTCCTCGTTATCTTTATCGTTAAGTTCCGTAATTTTGTATTTGTTGCCTGACTTGTCGACGATGGCATTGCCAATTTTTCCTGCATGGTGTACATCTAATGTCGTAGCTGATTTCGATAATCCTTTTCCCTTGGTACTTCCTCGTCTTGTTGCCGCGAGACATCTCCGTTAAATATCCGGTTCCGTTACCGCTCACCGGAATGGTGGGATTCGTTCCTTTCCTGGCTCGTAGGTATATTTTTGTTATCCGTTTGGTTTTTGTTATTCGTTTAGGTTGCACCGGTGGCCGAATCTTCTACCTTCGGCCAATTGATCGCTTCTTCGATCTTAACTTCCTCCTCGAGCGTTTCCTGCCGTCTTAGTCAGCGGGAGGGTTCCTTCTCGATTATAAAAACATATAAGCTTACCTAAGAGTTGTTTTGCTCCTCGTCTTGTTTGTCTTGTTTGTCTTGTTCGTCTTGTAATGATTCGACCATTTGTTGGTGATACTGGCGATGCTGTTCGAGCTTTTCTTCGGACATGTTGCTGTACATGTCGTCCTTCATTGTCGCAGGTCGAATAACGCCGGTGAAGTGGTCTTTTATATAAGGCACATTCTTCCCTCGGTTGAAATCCCAGTGCATTCCCAGCCTAGCTCCGTTGGGTTTATCATGGAATCTGAGCGCCAACCGTCTTTGCTGGTGTTCACTTTTTCTGCGATTGATACTCTCTTGATTCTGTATTGGGCTATAGTATTTGGGCGAGTTGCTGTTGCGGCTATCGCTCCCCGAGGTTGAAGGTGTTGAAGACATGTTTACGATGACTTCGCAGTAGTAATATAATTTGTTGCTTAGTTTGTTGTTGATAAAAGGCCGGCCTAAGATAGGAATATTACACAGGAGAGGTATCGTTGTTATATTAAGTGTTATAACTTGGGTGGGTAGTTAAGTGGCTTGAATGTTTGTTGTATCGTCAAGAAAATAGTAATGGTAGTATCATTGATGGATGATGTTGTAGAAAGGATGGAAATTATTTTCAGATGATAGCAAGTCCAACTCGTGTGGTTTTATACCTGAGAATCGAGGAGGGTATTTTATATTGGGGAGCCATTTTGACTGAGCGTAATGCCAAAGTTTGCTCCCCCAACGTGTTGGCGTTATAGTTTAAACACGAGGTGTTCGGACGCGGTAGTTTTCAGTTCGGTTTTCTTCATTATGTCGATAGTTTATTTGGTGTAAACTTAGGTTGCTCCAGCCTCTTGAGAGAACTGAAGGTTCTCTTGTATTAGTCAAAGGCCAGGGTTGTATAGTTGTTGGGAAACCAAGTAAGAATCTTTACAGGAAAGAGGAAACTGGGGCGGTATACATGATAGGTATTTACCTCGTCAGGAATTAACGCTACGACTACGTAGTTTAACCAGGCTTGAGTATACAAGCCAGCAGTTAGCTATAACCTGGCCTACTATCGAAATCTACAGCACCATACTGTCTCTATTAATCCGTTGTCGCTTCTAAGAAACTACACAGCGAGTACATAGGTAGGTACCTAGATAGTCATCAAAGTAGTAAACAATCATCCGATATTTCGAAGACTCCACAAAGTTACCTAAACATGTAAGCATAACCAGTGACTAAGGGACCAATGCGTACTAAATAAACATTCTAAGCTTATAGCATGACGATAGAAGTTTAAGATACACGCCACGTCACTTATAGGATGTCAACATTTCATAACGTTTGCTGCCGGCGGCTACATGCCCACTCGTAGAATATATTTACCTTCTCAACAACTTAAATAGTATCAGTAAAAACCACTTGCAAGTACTTTTATACTCAATTGATGAATCTGCTTTCTCCAAGGGAACAGGTTAGGTCAGAATCGATACAAGGAATATATCACGATATTCAATGCGTCTATTTTAGAACACGGTAAAAGCTGAACAGTTTAAAAGATTTAAGTAACTACCTACCTACCCAGATAATTAAGAGCAGGCTATTTCTCTACTTTACCTACCAGACCTAGAAGTCTGCCCCAGACTATCCACGAGTGCAACAATAACCTTCTCTCCCCCATCGACAGTTGAGACGCGGTATCGTTGGAATTGTACCGTATGAGTTAGTTAGGTTATAGTTTTCTCTGATTTTAATCGGAAGCTTACCCCAGGTCACGGGGATACTTAAAATATGAGAGCTGTCCGTACGTAAACTAGTCGTCCCGTCTGAACTAGATTCATAGTTATTGGCACGTTAACCTATTTATATTCACACCCCTCATCTGCACAGTGACAAAACTAGAAACGAGAGTTCAATGTGTCAGTCCATCATGTGCCGTCCATGAAATGCAGTCTAGGGGCACTAAGAACACAGCTAAGAGTTACGAGCGCGTTGACTGCTGTCAAATTATAAGCAAGTAGGTTAGAAACTTAATAGCCACGCGTACGACAGGACTACTAATGGTATAGTGTGACGCTTTGATATCGAAAACAAGACGACACGGATGGGGAACTAAACCACGTCAAAGCGGCTGTCATCCTTAAGTAAAAAGATGCCAGTTTCAGTAAATCTGTGCTTGAAATATAGTTCCCATTTGACTCAACTGACATCTTCTATACGACGCCTAACCTAGAGGAACGGGCCGTCTAAGCCCTGATTTGACTTCAAGTCGTCCGGGACATCGGCGATAGTATCCACAGGGACACGACGATGCCCAACGCGCTATGTAGGAACGACCCAACATATTTTCTAAAATCATTTTGCTTCTGCGATTGTCATCATACTCCTAGCTTCAATAGTGGCGTTGAGTTAAATGATAATGCATGTTCGAATTTCACTGCAACTGTCGAACCAATCCATAAGCTTCCGACGCTCCTCTTGTCCCTCGATACTGGTCCCAGGCGGTGATGCAAGTCCTAAGCGAGTATATAATACCTCGTCATCCACCCCCCTATCCCCCTTAAGGATAATGCTGATGGGTGCTGGAAACTGGCACGTATCAGCTATGCGTAAGATAAGCACGGTCATTTGCTCCTTTGTCTGTGGAAATGGATCGCAATCTACACTGACTTCGACGTCAACCGCTAACTCGGGATGTAAAATGCGGTAATCCTCTGGGGATTCCTGAGAGGACTTGCAAAGCGTACACGTGATAGAGTCCCCACGTAATGTTAACCGTCCTCCAGTAGCTTGCCCAAATTGGTTTCCGTCTGTGTACTCGCAGCTTGCGTCCAACACCTTCACATGTGGCTTAAGCGGTGCTGTAGAGTCGTAAGCAACTGGGCCAGGGATGGAGGCCCACGACCAGGTAGGCGCAATATAGTGTTCTGAACGTTGTTGGGGTTTTGGCTTACGCTTGCGAGCCCACAGCAAGTCTAGCCCAAGTGATTCATGCCAAAGCCCAGCAAGATATGTCTTGTTCTGGCGCACGGCTCGAGTCTGCTCTGCGATGGCCCCGATCGCTAGAAGTCTATCCGTTTGGTTGGTAAGTTGCAGGTCCGAGTAAAATTGAACAATTCTACGCCATGTCTTCTCAGTATCGCCCTTCGAGAGTTTATTTTTCTTAGTAAACCTTATGGCATTTCTAATATATTCATTATAGTTGGTGGGGGATTGCTGTGAAAGAGGTGGACTGTTCACTAAGTTGTTGACATGTAGCATCTTCAAACTTGGCGGATTATACGGCCCACCACCGTGGAACCCGCACTCACAGACGGATGTTGAATAACATTCCCATATCAACTCGTGTTTTGTGAAATATAGTATTCGAGGAGAGACTAATCTTTCTTGGAATGTCCAAGCTCGCTTGAAAAGGGGCTCAGTTCGGTGATTCAAGTACAGATTGGTGATCTCCGGGAAAGACTGCTGCGCATATAACTGGTACTCTTCAGTACCATGCCGAATTTTACCCAATTGTAGCTGTTGTCCAGGGCCCAAGCTGGAGAATAGCCCCTTAGAACTGTCCTCGGCATGAGATGCGGCAATTGTCAAGAACGCATTCTGATAAACATGGAACATTCGGCCGGCCTCCCGTAACCAATCTTCGGGGTCTCTTTGAATGATACATAGTGAGTCAATCCATATATAGCCTATATCAAGTTTGCGCGTAAACAAGATAGCTTCTTGAAAGCTCTTTGGAAGCGTACTCCAAGGAACATTTTCCTTCTGATCCAATAAATTTCCCTTAGTAGTCAGACACTCGAGTAGCTTCAAGCCCCAACAGTGACTGAGAGCTACATAATGTGAACCATTCGGTACTTCAGAGTTGTCTATCAGCCTTACCTCGTCGTTACTACCAGCGATATATATGAGTCGTGTAGGAAGGAATGAGCTGTCTCGCGTGTGGCAACGTTGGTGATATTGAGAACAGGTTGATAACTGGTGTTTTGCCCATTCACAGGCGGCTTCTGATGCGGTGCTGCCGGAGACAAGAAAACCCTTTGGTATTCCTGATAGACTCCTCCGTTCTGAATGCGGAAGGAAAAAGTTCCACTCAACTTCATCTTCTTCCATTAAGGTATCTTCCAGAAGAACACAGGGTTTGTCCTGATTTATCCACGGAGATATAGTCCATCGATCTCGATCTAGATTTTGCTGTCGTTCAAACAAACGGTCAATTATATTGCAACAGATACAATGTGAATCCTCGGGCCGACTGAATATGATATTTGGTTCATCCCGAGGAGTTGGGACTTTGAGTAGATGTTCAGGATTACCATCCCACCTACAATGTGGGCAGACTTCTCGTTGGTCCCAGAGTCTTTCTAAATTACTTAACCAGTTCCAATACTTTGGCAACACGATAATGTCCTCTGCATCTTTAGGACTAGTTGTCGCTTGGGATATGCTGTTTAGAAACTCGCTCGTAAAGGCTTTAATTGTGTGATGCATTTTTGTTAGTTAGGTAGTCATTGATTATGACTTACTATGTAAAAGCTTGCGATAGTTAAGAAAAGGCAGAAAGGGTACATCGCTGTATTTATGAGTCAGCTCAGCACGTGATAATTACCTGAGCAATCACATACATAAGGTTGCTTATCGAAGAAGCCGCTTGCCTCGGTTCATTTTAATGGATAAGCCGGGGTTCGTCATTGGGTTGTTTTCTCTCCAGCCTCAACGCGACAACTTGACAACTTGACAACTCTTACCATCTACAGTATTGCTTCGCACACACGACAGCTTTCCCTAATTGTCATCAACTACTTGCCATGAATATTCCTTGATACTCGGCACTTCAATCATGACAATCCGGGAGGACGTCGTGGCCTCTGCGGTCAATTGTAAGTATTAACCAACCCAACCACTTGAATTATTTGATGTTCGGGATAGGAGCCAGAGAAGCATAGCTGACAAATTGTGTTCGATTACGTAGTCTTACAAGACCCTAATGTGATCTCTTCCCCTATCGAGAACAAGCTATCCTTCTTGCGATCAAAGAATTTAACGCAAGAGGAAATCGATATCGCTTTTGCGAGGAGCGGCTCATCGATAGCTCCTGTTCCCGCTTCACCCTCACCATCACCATCGCCGTCATCAGCGCCCTCCGCTCCCGTCCAGAACCAGCCATACTACGGCCAATACCAGACGCAGCCTTACGGATGGCAAGCACCGCCAGAAGTCCCCAAGAGGGATTGGCGAGATTGGTTCATTATGGCCACTGTGGTGGGCGGAGTTAGTTACGGATTATATACTGTTTCCAAGGTATGGCATGATTACTCCAACTCAAGCATAAATAAATCATTGATATCCTAACCTCGATGGTAGCGTTACCTTTACCCCCTAGTCTCGCCCCCGACACCGGAGAAATTAGAACAAGATAAGTCGATGGTGGACGAACAATTCGAGAAGGCCTTCGCGACGCTCGAGCAACTATCGAAGGACACGGAGGAGCTAAAGGCCTCAGAGAGGGAGCGTACCGATAAGCTCGACAAGGTGCTAGATGAGCTAGACATATTCATGCGAGACACGAAATCCGCTAGCCGACGACACGAAGACGAAACGGACCGACTACGCGAAGAGATGAAGGCCTTGAAGGGGATCATCCCTAGTTCTATGACTGCGAACAAGGAATTTACGGATAACCGATTGAAGGAGATCACCACCGAAGTCAGGAGTCTGAAGTCTCTCATCAGCCAGCGAATGGGCAATCCCAGCAGCACCAGTCCGGCCCCACCGTCTATCAACACGAACGGCTTCCTTAAGCCGACTGTCAGCGCCGTTGCGCTCCCTACTGCTAGCGGTGCCTCGAGCCCTGGTGTTGATACGCTAGCAAAGGATCTCAGCGACGCGAAGCAGGCGGTGCGAGATGAGAACTCGCCTCAGAGCAACGGCACCAGGCAGGACTTCTTCTCGACGCGAACGTCTCCCTTCGGAAGCGGAATGCCTCCCACAAAGGCGTCGATTCCCGCGTGGCAGCTAGCAGCGAGCAAGTCAGACGCCACTGCAAGCAGTTCGCAGAACGAAGCTGGACCTAGCTCTAGCTCTTAATTACATATATAGATATACCTAGGTAATCATTACTCGTTTGGCGTTGTTTTGTGATTAAGGGTTCTTTTAGTTAAAAAGGAAAGGCATTTTCCCGGGTTAAGCAGTATATTTGAGTGAGGACGAGCCTCGATTGACATAATGGGGCGGTTTTACATGATGAGTCTCCGGGCAAAATGTGTACGTTTAAGGACCTCGATGGATAAACGAACCTGATTCTATAATGCCGTAAATTGTCTGATTGTTCGTTGTACGTGTTCCCTTGGTTTAGTTATGTTGTAAATGTGACACTGCATGTTCTCGTTGAGTGGAGGACGTTATGTTAGTCTTACCAAGTCCCCATTTCAAAAAAATTTTCCTCGAAATACGTGTCTTTTTATTTCCAAAATTTTAAAGGTGCCAGGCCGAGTCAAGGGTGCCGGGTCGAGTCGAAGGTGCCAAGTCCTCCTTTTAGGTGCCGAGTCTTCTTTTTAGGTGTCGAGTCGAGGGTGCCGGGTCGAATTGAAGATGCTAGGTCGAGTCGAAAGTGCCAAGTCTTCTTTCTAGGTATTAAGTCGAAAGTAAGGGTGCTATAGGTGCTAAAAATACTGGTCTTAAGGGTATTAAGGTATTAAAAGTATCTAAGAAATAATAGCAATAAGTTCGGACTGTTGTACATAGCACCCCATAGGGCTGCCCTCCCATATGCATGGTAAAAAGTCTCTTCTTTAAAAGGCAATCCCTTAAAGCTAAAGGTACCTACCTAACGTATTTAAATCTTATTAAATCTGAAGCTACATGTACTCACTTAGGATGAAAGCAATAATACGTAGGTAGTTGAAAATCCTTGATGAATCCCCCTATGTATTCAACTAGGTATGTAACAACCAAGTCTTCGAGAACGCCACCGGCAATGACAGAGTGGCGACCGGGACCCAGGCGTACCCGCATAGAATGTGTATGTATGTACATGGTACCTGCCTCTCAGAGTGCCGAGGCTTACCTTCGTCTGCAGCGTTCCACCGTCCCATCCGGAGCCAGCGGCAGGGGAGTTGGCATACATAAATTTATTACTACCTAGCTATCAACTTACAGGGGTTCGAACATAAAATCATAAGGGGGAATTGCTATCCATCATATATATAACTATGCGATTTATACACGCCGCTTTGCATACATAGTTAGATACCTTATTAGTTGGCCTTTGTTGCTCGGTTTCTGTTTGTCGGTCAGTCTTAATATCGTCACCGTATATTCTCCCTTTACGCTGCGTGGGAGCAATTGAAACGAAATTCTTGCCTCCCGGCGTGGACTACGGTCTATTGAAGCCTATTTCTCCTCGCGCGTATACTTTCTAGCGTCACGGCGGTCTAGTCGGGTTGCAGACATCGCCATGTCTGACTCTACCGTCTCTACTGCCGACAAGAAGAAAAAGGCTCCCGGTGGGCGGCTGGACCTGCTTTGGGCCATTCTGCCGAAACTTCCTTTGATCGTTAAGGTCATTCTGCTACATGTCATCGGCGGGTCCGAGACTTCTCGGTATCGGGATCTAAAGAGTGAAGTGACCATCGCGGTCCTACGGTCATTTGCTAACCCATCGAACCCAAAACCTCTTTTCGCGCGTCAGGCTATGACCTTGAAGGACCCCGGCGTCAAGGGCAAATTGTGGGTCAGCACGGTGGCGTCTGAGCCCCCTCCCGAGCGAGGAATTCGGGACGCTCTGCTAGCAGTCATCGATGCCTTGAACGAGCCCGGCGCAAGAGGTACGGAGCCGTCGTTCAAGATACCCGAACTCGTTCCCGTCGAGGCTGAGTGGACGGGATATAGGGCTGCCGCGTCTAAGAATTCGAAGCTTCCGGAGATCTCGGAGGAGCAGAAGTACCGCGAGATGATGAAGGAGTGCAAGAATTCGTCGACGATTCTGTACTTCCACGGCGGGGCTTACTATCTGTGCGACCCGTCGACACACAGGTTGCTGGTGAAGCGATTGACCAAGCTGACGGGTGGCCGCGCGTATTCGGTCAGGTATCGACTCGCGCCACAAGACCCGTTTCCAGCTGCGCTATTAGATGCTTTTGTGTCTTACTTCACTCTTCTCTACCCGCCTCCCGGGTCGATACACGAAGCTGTTGCTCCCGGGGATATTGTATTCGGCGGCGATAGCGCGGGCGGAAACCTCGCTCTAGCACTCCTTCGAACGCTAATGGAGATCCGACGCCAGAACCGCAAGATCAATTGGTTTGGAGAGGAGCGAGAAGTGCCCCTACCTGCCGGTCTTGCTAGCATGTCTCCATGGATAGACATGGTGCAGAGTCTGCCTTCGTTGGCTAGGAACCAAAAATGGTGCTATCTTCCTCCCCCAAAACTACTCTCGGAGCATGAACCACCGGCGGATAGCATATGGCCGACTAACCCACCTCGAAAACACGTTTACGTCGATGACGACTATATGCTTCACCCGTTGGCTAGCTTACAGATGGACAATGGCACGTGGGAGGGCGCCCCGCCCATGTATATATCCTGCGGCTGGGAGACCCTCGAAGACGAGATCAAGTACTTCGCATCGAAGCTCACCAGGGACGGCGTAACGGTGGTGTTTGAGGAGTACCAAGCGATGCCGCACGTGTTCGAGGGGCTTCTACCCACGCTCCCCGAGTCGCAACGTAACCGAGAGGGTTATGCCAATTTCGTCAAGGCCGTGTGCAAAGACCCGAAGAACATCAAGTCGTCTTATACGGCGATCAAGGCCAAGACTCTAGAGGAATTGGAAATCAACGTGGAAAAACTTACCCCGTATAGCGACGAGGAAGTAAAGGAGCTGGCTCGACAGAGGCTTTCCGTACAAGAAGCACCTGTTGTGCCGGCCCCTGATGTGCCGGCAAAGTTATGAGCTCTCGGCTTAATTTCTTAAAAGTGTCTTTGGCTTTGCACGTATTTATGATGAGGAAGATTGTAGACGGTGTGTATGTTTTTACGTCTTGAGTATAAGTGGTAATGAACGAGATATATAATGTTATTCGGTATACGTATTTCTTTATTTTTTAAATTTTTTTTTAAAAGGAACAGGTCTTATTTTGAAGAGTGGAATATCAAGAACACGACGACGAAATTCTCCTATATATTGACGATTAGCTACCACATAATCTGTCTTAGAAGTACATACCTGGGTATAGGTACCTTTTAGTAAGACTTTCAAACAAATGTCTGGAAGATAACGTGAAATGCAACAATAAGACATGAAGATAAAGATGACTAACTCCCCCAACCCAGCGGATATAGCGCCTGAGCATTCAGGTACATAACACAACCCTGCTTACGTTACCTCAAGGTTCCATACCATGTACATGTGTATGGTACATAGGTAACACAAGTTGGTAGGTGGGTACCATAGTAGCGCCTTCCACACCCCCATGTATCGACCCGCATATGTTTCACAGCCAAATCCAGTTTAACAGAGACGCTCATATTTGTCAAAAGCAGAAGCCATAGGTTAAATCTTCATGCAAGCCACGAAGCAACTACCACGGCAAAAGATTATCAGGTAGGTATTTCCTCATCTGTAAGATATCTTATGTATATCAAATGTAGAGGAGTGAAAGGCGCTACATACTAACTATCATCCCGCGGAGTTGTAGTCACTTCATGTTGGACCATACACGTGCAAGGCGCTCGACTCATACTTACAAAACCCGGCTTTAGCTAGATATATAAAGTCGACTTTAGAGAGACATATATGTAAAGTCGACTTAAGTCTTTACTACCTACGCATATAAACACCTAAAATAGGAGGTCGTTCACTTCCATAATTCTCTCCCAATGGAGCACCACCGACAAGCCGTGCGCCTAGTCTCCGCAACAGTCCGCTCGCTGTTCGAGCGGTCAGAGCCATACCGCATCTGGCACGGCAGCACGAACTCGACGCGGCCGCCGCACCAAAAAGCCGGCGTTCGCGTCGTCGACATCAGCGGGTTACGCAATGTCCTATCTGTAGACGCGACCACGCGCACCGCCCTGGTCGAGCCAAACGTCCCTATGGACCGGCTCGTCGAGTCCACGCTGCCGCACGGCCTCGTGCCCCCGGTCGTCATGGAGTTCCCGGGGATCACGGCGGGGGGCGGGTTCGCGGGCACCGCGGGCGAGAGCAGTAGTTTCCGCCATGGGTACTTCGACGAGACGGTCCGGTCCGTGGAAATGGTTCTCCCGGACGGGGAGGTAGTTACCGCGCGTCCGGACAAGGGGGATGAGTACGAGGATTTATTCCGAGGGGCGGCGGGCGCGTTGGGCACGTTGGGCACGACCACGTTGTTGGAGCTGAATCTTATTGAGGCTAAGAAGTTCGTGCGCACGACGTATAGACGGACGAGTAGCGTGGGGGAGGCGGTGAGGGTGATTCGGGAGGAGTGTGCTGCTGAGAAGGGGAATGATTATGTTGATGGGATTTTGTTTTCGAAAGACCATGGTGTTATTGTGAGTGGGAAGATGACGGATGACTTGCCGTCCGAGGACGAGCGTGTGCAGACGTTTAGTCACCCGCGGGATCCGTGGTTTTACATGCACGTGCAGGATATCACCAAGACCCTACCGTCATCCTCGTCCTCGTCCTCATCCTCAAGCTCTTCTTCCGAAGGCACAGTAACCGAGTATATCCCACTATCCGAGTACCTCTTCCGGTACGACCGCGGTGGATTCTGGGTTGGCAAAGCTGCCTTCGATTTCTTCAAGCCTGTGCCCTTCAACCGGTTCTTCCGGTGGTTCCTAGACGACTTCATGCACACGCGAATGTTATACCGCGCACTCCACGGCAGCGGCGAAAGCGCGCGCTTCATCGTGCAAGACGTCGGCATGCCGTACGAGTCCGCCGAGCCCTTCATCAACTACGTGTCGGACGAGCTAGCCATCTGGCCGCTATGGCTGTGTCCGCTAAAGACGCCTTCCGGCCCCAGCTTCCACCCCCACCTACGAGACGGAGGGAAAGGAAAAGAGAAAGCGCCCCACGGCGAAATGCTCAACATCGGCGTCTGGGGCTGGGGCCCCTCGGACCGGAACATGTTCATCCGGGCAAACCGCGCCCTGGAGCGCCGCGTCGACGAGCTCGGCGGCACCAAGTGGCTGTACGCACACACATACTACCCACCTTCCGAATTCTGGCGCGTCTACGGATCCGCCCACCAGAAACAGTACGAAGCGCTACGGCAGAAATACCTCGCGACAAGTCTACCCAACGTCTACGACAAAGTCAGCGTGAAAGTCGACAACGACGACGCGGTGCTGCGGGGGTGGAAGCCCTGGCTCAAAGCGCTGTGGCCGATCGGTGGGCTCTGGGGGATCTGGAAGGCGATCCAGAGCAAAGATTACATGCTGCATCGACGGGCGACGTGGAAGTGGACAGGAGGAGGCGACGAGGCTAAGACGGGGAAGGCGAAGTCGGCGTAGTGTGGGAGGGAGTAGATATGCTTCCTGCTGCAGGACTATACTATTAGGGGTATACAATAAATATATTTTTGATCATTGCCGTGAGTATAGGCTATATGGGTAGGCTATTAGATCGGATATCGAAAGCTATTGTCGTGAAAGACCTTGCTGGTCGATCTATCTAACCATCTCTTTCCGATGATAATAGAGGATCAGACCTACCGTCCATGTCTACCCCCCTATTATTAACGATTTGATTTATAGTAAGCACCATGTGTATTCCAACACAATCAAGTAAACAGGGACTAGTTGTCTTAGAAATTCAACGATAAGCCATATAATCAGAATCGGGCCATAGCACATTAAAAATGGCATATATATTACCGAATCACCAACTACAACACATCGAAGAATGTAGCCATTCGATTCTATCAGCGTCTTCATTAAGCTCTTCGTGCGAGTCATCACAGGAATTATTCCTAGTATATACAAGTCGGGCATTCATCAATCATCACCCAGCCTTATTAGTAGCCCTCTTATCTCACAATCGTCTTTCATGCAGTATACATGATCTTCGTGCCATAAGTCTCGACTCTAGGAATTGCCAACCACACTAGTCTAGCTAGTATACCGGCCAATTAATACCTGTCTATATAGGATGTAGATCGCATTTATTAGGTTTTTTCTCATTTATGCCTTGATCGAGTAGGTTCGCTTGAACATGTCGTCGACCTTCTCTAGGTAGTAAGTGCCACTGGCCAGAGTTGACACGTCACCTTGAGGAGTGTAGTTCTTCTGTAGGTGAGCCTTGTGGCGCAGCTCGCAGAACTGGAAATTGTTAGTTTAATGTCATCAAGATTAGATAGTTTGCAACTTACGGCTTCATATGTCTCAGGAGGGACAGCCCGCCTCGCAGCTAGCTTGTTCTGGATATCCAAAACCTTTGCAATCTGTTCTGTGTTTCCATTGACGCGCACCGAGAGGAAACTAGCAGCCAAGCCGGAGCCGTAGCTGAAAAGTCCGATACGCTTTCCCTGAAGGGTAGCGCTATCAATGTAAGAAATAATACTAGCAAGGCCACCCCACAAGCTGGCAGTGTACATGTTACCACAGTTGGTGGCTACTTGGATAGAGGGTGAGACGCGCTCGTTGAAGCGCTTCTTGGTGAGAGCCATGAAGGTCTTCTCGACCACCTTGTCGGACAAGGACTTCTTGTAGTCCATATCCCGGATGTCACCAGGGACCTCAGCAAAGGCAGGGCTGTCAGGGTCTGCGAGATAGTCGTGGTATAAGAGACGTGCGTAGGACTTCTGGACAACCTTGCACGTCGGAGAGTGGAAAGCCACGTAGTCAAAACGGTCAAGGGCCGTCTTGGTACCGTCAGCAGCGGCGGCACCATTTCCGTTGGCATGACCGTTTGCTGCGTTCTTCAGCTGAGTCTCACGCTTGCAATACGCTCGGTAGGCAGCGTCAAGAGCTTCGGTGTAGCAGTTGACCGAGTAGTGCCCATCGACATAGGGATACTCGCTAGTAAGGTCAGGCTTGTAGAAATCATACACGTGTTGCATGTATGTTCCACGTAGACCAGCATCGACGACGATGGGAGCGTCAGGGCCGACCAGCAGAGCAATGCAACCAGCACCACCAGTCGGCCTAGCGTTACCCTTAGCATAAAGGGCAATGTCACCAGCTACGACGATTGCGTCTCTTCCGTCCCAGGCGGACGATTCCATCCAGTTGACAGTATTGAAGAAAGCGTTTGTACCACCATAGCAAGCATTCAAGGTGTCGACACCCTCAATGTTGGTGTTTTCGCCGAACAGCTGCATCAAGACAGACTTGACGGACTTGGACTTGTCGAGGATGGTCTCGGTACCGACCTCGAGACGGCCAATGGAGTTAGGGTCGATGCTGTAATTCTTCAGCAGCTTGGAAGTGGCAGTCAAGGCCATGGAGTAGATGTCTATAGGTAGCCATCTTAGTACACGTGCGAGAGACGCTTAGGTCTAGCAATGGCGCAACAACTAACCTTCTCGGTCATCGCAGAAGGTCATCTTGGTCTGACCAAGACCAATGGTGTATTTGCCAGTGCTAACACCATCGAACTTCTCGAGCTCGGATTGCTCGACATACTGAGGGGTACGAGTGTCAGTAGGGGGCTCTATTCAGGGTCCAGTGGTGTCGTGCGATGTCGGAGGGGGACAAGACGGCTTTAGGGGTAGAATATCTTACCTGGCTAGGGAAGTAAAGCTCGATGGCCTTAATGCCAATGTTCTGAGGACGGGAGGCCATGGTTTCAAACAACAATGGGTATCGTGGTGGTAGGGCTGTGAAGAAAGTTGTTTTGGCAGGGAAAATATTCGATGCCAAACGAGTGTATATCTATCTGTGGGAAGCGGGTAGTGTTATTAGCACAAGCATGTGGCAGGGTTTTGAATTCGGAAGGCTGGATTCACCGCCAATTTGGCAATGGAACCCAATGCAAGCGGACAGGGGCAGACCCGAGCATTTGTTTGCGACGCCCAGTGTGGAATTGCATGTGTGCCGATCCAAGTGGGGGAATCTGGTAAGAGGTGTTGTAAACCGCCAGGGGTTTTTGGCTGGTTTGGCTGGTTCTGCTAATTGAACTCACCTATCAGCTCTTATCTGCTGTATTAATGTGGTATTAATGTGGTATTGTGAGGAGGCTTGCCACGAGCTTATGGCACAACACGGGTCGTTGCGTCTATCTCTTTTAAGCGAAAAAGGAGAAATGAGCGGATGAGATGGGACGAACCGAAATTATGAAGATGGCCAACAAAAAATCCTGTTGATATTTCGAAGGACGGGAAAGGGCAGGAAAGGGGAGAGAAAAGATGCGAACTAATACCTTATCTGATTAGTTTAGTCTACTTGTTGGCAGCAACATGTCATATAGGTAGTACTTACCTAAAAATGCCCCACCAGATTTTAAGTTTAATGTACGAAGTACAATTGGCAATTACCTAAGTAGCCCCTGAGCCTACGTGTATGCGTTTGTACATAATTTTTCAATTCGTTTACTTTTACGGATTAGTCATGGTTGAGTTAAAGAAGGCGCGCGTAAAAAAAAAGGTCCGAGTTTTACTGCCTCTAATATCGAGGCTCTACAGGTGTTAATTTTAACAAATAATATATCTCACTTTAAAGTGCATATGTGCTTAGGCAGCCAGCATCATGATTCCATTAAGGTCTATAAAAAGCTTCCCGTAAGACAAAGATCTCAAGTTAAGTTACACAAGCCTTGACTGATAGGTTATACCTTCCGCAACACATGGGCTTAATTAAGTACGCTACTTTAAAAATTTGCAACGCCGATAAATTATGTGTTATACATAGTACATTAACGTCAGTATATCAAACTTTAAAACCGTATTAATACCGTATATTCACGGTTTAATTGTTTAAATAATTACACCTTTTAATATAAAAAAAAAACGGTAATTAAATTTATTAACGGTATTATTTTACAACGGTATTTTTAAAATTAAACGTTTTTTTAAATTAACGGTTTTTTTATTATAAATAATTTTTTTTACCAACGGTTTTTTTTCGGTTTTAATACGGTCCGAAAAAATATAATAAATAAAAAAATATATATATATTATTATACGTATTTACATATTTATTTATTTACATATACATTTTATATATTAATACGTATAATAATTAAATTAAAATATACTTTATTTTTAAACATGTTACGGTTATAACTACGGTTACGGTTACGGGATTATTATTTAAATACATTATTACATATAAACGCGTATAACTTATAATTATTTAAATATATAAAATAATAATCGTAACTTTTTTACTTAATTATTTATTAATATTACACTTTCCTAAACCGTATTAAAACCGTTAATTAAAAAAAAACCATTTGTAATTATATAAACCGTTTAAATAACCAATTAAAAATATACCAATTATATATACAACAAAAGTTATAATAAAACGTTTATACATTCGAATAATATTAAAGCCTTAAACGGTAAATATACAGTTTGGTCCTTACTTACTGTAAAAATACGGTACTCAAGCCTTATATCTTAACGCTAATGTAATAGCCTAAAGTTTAAACGTAAAGGTGTAACATCATTTAACATGTCTTATAAATAAAGTTTACATTAGTTTCATATTACATAACTACATGTAACAGGTAGTCTAACTCTTAAAAGCTCGAGCAACTTAAGTACTATATCTATAACTATATACCATAGTAAATAATAAATAATAGCTTTATTAGCCTTCCTTTCACATGAACAATCATAACTGCCAGGCGTGCATTTCGCCATCCTTCGCAACTTGGAAATTTCTCCCTGTTGTAATAGTGTACGGTTTCACGAGTGATTTGTTTTTGCAGGGCAACTTAATGTAACCGAAAGTGGTGAAGCGAGGTAACATAATTGGCAGATAATTGGCAGATAACTCAGGCACGATCTGCTTAGCTTCAAACTAAATGACGGCGTGGCTTGGTTCTTTCCATGATACGATTAGTACATGTCTAGTTGCAGACTTATTCGGAAACTACCTATTTAGGTAGTAGCAATCTAGGTTAGCCACATGGCTCGGAGTTAGCTACTTTTCACTATCTATAACTAGGTAATTATTACTCCCTACCTCCTAACACAGTATCCCTACATATATAGTACATGCATAGGCAATACACAGCTTCCAACATACAGATAGCCCGTCTTCTATCGTTTAGCTTACGAATCCATAGGTTGACCAACAGACAGGCATAATAGATCAGCATCTGCAACTTTCCACTGGAAAGTTTCCAGTGTAACACATCAGGCCACTTTCATCATCGTTTTGATCTTCCCCTACAGCATTACAACACCGGACTTTAGCTCAACGTTGCTGTGCACAACATACATGTATATCGGTATGTATAAGACCGATTCAATTGTTCCTATGTCCTCTACTTATACACTACCCAAGTGTACGTTCAACCGCCATGCATCCCATGAAACTCCACTCCGAGATTTAGACAAGATATATACACTATCACGGCTCGGCGCTTGATGGCGTTGCATAGCCGGAATCTTGTCTCTCGTGACCTAATTCTTTCTCGGCCTTTACATCCGGTTTCTTCTCAACCGAAAGGTTGTCATCTTTTGATTCTCTCGGTACCACCTCCTTCTTGTCAGCTACTTCGGATGAGGCTGAAGTAGCTGCCGAGTCTGTCGTCTTGTTCTCACTCTCCTTCTTTTTCGCCTCCTCTGCCTCCTTCTCCTTCTTTTCTTTCTCTTTCTTCTCCTTTTCTTTCTCTTTCTTTTCCTTTTCTTCTTTCGCCTTCGCTTCTGCTTTCCGCTTCTCCTCGGCTTCCTTTAACTCCTTCTCCTTGCGATCTTTCCGAGTCTGCGTGATGAATTCGTCTATGTTTGCAATAGCTTCTTGAGCGTCACGTTTGTACTTCATCAAATACCCTTGAATTTCTGCTGGACTGAATTCGTGTGACGGCATTTTGACGGAAAATTCTTCTGCCAGGGTATTCACACGAGCATCATCATCCGCTCGCTTCTTAGCCTTCTCTGCTTCTTGTTTTTCTCTTTCTTCTGGATGGAGAGGTACGTCCGTGGTGTTTTCAGGACCCTCGTCACCATCTAGACGTGCAAAGATGGCGCGGAAAATGGCCGAAGCCATCCCCTCGTCTGCTAGACCAAAATTCACTATCATATCAACACGTCCAGGGCGGATTAATGCCTTATCCAACTTTTCGAGGTGGTTGGTAGTCATAATCAACACACGGCCTTCCTGAGACGCCACACCATCCAGGATGTTGAGCAGTCCCGATAGGGAGAGTCTACCATTGTTAGTGTTTGTATTTCCCGTAGTAAGTTGACCGGGGACCATATCATCCGAATCATCCTTAGACTGGTTCTGGTTTTCCTCACGGGTATGAGTAAGACCTGCCGTGTCGATATCCTCGAGGAGCACAACACAGCGACGGGGAAGCTCAGCAAACAGAGACGCAAGACTCTCCTCGTTTGCTGTGATAGAGCTTAGACTAACGATGTAAATCCTCATCTTGAAAAAGCCAGCTAGGGCGAGGCTGAGCGAGCTCTTTCCCGTACCGGGAGGACCGTACAGCAAGTAGCCACGGCGGTATGGGATACCTCTATTTGCGTACCAACGCTGCGTTGCGGGGTGGAGATAGTCGGTAACATCATCGATGAGGTTCTGCTTCGTCTTTTCGTTCAGAATCACTGTCGAAAAGGGACGAGAAGCACGAGACATACACCTCTGCCAGGTTGGTTCGGTAGACCCTGGCTTAAGCGTTCCGCGGTAGATCTGGGTCTTTCGCTCATCCTTCTGCAGGTATAGTTGGCGAGCCTCCAGGAGAAGGTCTTTTAGAATCCAGGGGTTTCGACCAAAGCATGAAATCGATATCTCCTCACGTTCGCTAACAAGCATGAACGAGTTCTGCTCTCTGTTTGCTGTCCTGCGGAACAGAAGGAGGCGGCCGCGATACCAGAAGTAGTGGCTACCAAAGGAAGGCGTGTATGCCAAGCCCTTCTTCTTTCGTGCATTTGTTACTTCGTCGATATCTTCTTCATCCTCATCATCGTCGTAGTCGTACCACAGAAACCAGCTTCGGGAGTTTAAGTTGGTGTTCGCTACGAATCGCCGGGCACTCCGCGAGAATCTCTGCTTAGCCACCCAGGCCATAAGGATATTGTAGATCTCGTCATCGGTTCGGATGTCGACGACAGACATAAGATGGGATTCAATTTGATCCCACAAGTATGAACTTATATAGTTCCATACGAGTGTTAAGGCGCCTATAATAAGCAATAGTGGGATATACAGGTTAAGATCGATGTGAAGGTACTTCTGTACCGCGCCGGCGAAGACAGAGAATCCCGGGAAGAATAAGTCGAGCATCACTAGCTGAGGTGATTGTGAAGTCCCAGGAGCGTAAGTTGGACCGGCGGACTCATTGGTCCAAGGAGAGGACCCTTGAGGAGCTGCCATGACGGCTGACAAAAGGTCTGGCGGTAACGCCCAGCCACTGAAGATATGTAAGAATCTTAAGGCTGATAGGATTATAGGGGATAATAAATTCGGGCTCTAGTTCGAGGTTACGTTCGTTTGCCCCGGGTCATAAAAGGGTCACTTTGTATTGGGCACTGCTGCTGTGAGGAGGGACTCGTTTGTTCAATTGAATGGCAGCAATGGATGTTTATATCTATCTTAGATATCTAAATAGTTTCAGGCAACCATAGGCATACCACCGACAATCTACACATGCATAGCATGATGCTATGCACTCCCAATACCGATCCAACTCTATAAGAGAGGGAGAGGGGTCCACAACCATCAAGACAACAGTTTCTTGGTTAAGTCAGACAGTAGCGCTGATTATTCAGTGGCTGTTAGACCTGCACAAAGCCAACCATGGATCCGAATAGCCGTATAACTGGATGGTGTAAGACTCATCTGCCACTCATGTACAAGATGAGTTAGACGGACAGACAAAGAAGAGAGTAGCGTTGAAAAAAAGTGGCGCACTATATTTAACATTGTCGAAAATACTTCAACTTGGATGCAACAAATAAGAGGATGATGTCAGACCGCTAAGGCACCTAAGCCTGAAGATGGCTTGTAGATCGGGGTTGCCGTTACATACCTAGGTAGGTAGGTATCCAATTGTTGGCCGATTCGAACTCGGCTCACACTCGGCTCACACTCGGCTTGAGCCTCAACATGGCCGTTGACACCTACCTTTACTAGCCTTAAGGATTAGGGTATTAGTCCTATGGCTCCAATGGCGATTTACCTTATCCCTGGCTATAACGAAAATTCTATCAGCGTATATTATCTGCAAGAGGCGCAAGTGTGTAGTATGCATTAAGGTATGCATGGTGTATAAGTCCTAAGTCATACGACCCATAAAGCCGAATATGTAAGCTCTTAAGCTCTAGGACTTCGGGAGGCAACCAGAAGGTCGGCGGCATACGGTAGCTTATCTGCCTTGTTGGCGGGGTCGACTGCCTAATTATTAAGGGACGGGACTAAGCCGCGGACTACGGAGTAGGTAGAGTAGGAAGGAGGCATATTGACCTGGAGCGGTCCGTAAGCGTGGCTTAGGTTCCTACCCGCCGAATACTCAGCCTACCTAGCCAAGAACGCTAATCCGTTCTAACGCATTCTAACGCACTTCACCGGCAAACGCTGCTACTTGCATTGCATAGAGGTAATTACCTAGCTTTGCTGTCACCGAAACATAAGCAACATCTCTTTCATTATTTTAAAGCGGTCGATACCTGAAATTAATGGCTTAGACTATACTTATACGGAGTTTTGATGCAGTCAGCTACATACACAGGGCATGATACTTGTTCAGACTGCCAGCCTGGCTGACTCAACTCGGGGGGGGGGGGGGCGGGGGGCGCCGGCCCCCCCGCCCCCCACCCGAGCCCCAGCGACAAGAGGCGACAAACGCACACGAGGAAATCGGACGAAGCTG